GAAATACTTTTCCGGTTGCAGTTGTGGATTCGTTAGATGATTGGCATACCAGGGAAGTTCGCTGAAGGTGGGTGAGACGATGATGACCTGATGCTTGTGAACCAGATCATGCTTGATCGCTGCGGAGAGCGGGTTGCCCCACCTGCTCCCTTCCCCCGCTTCGACGGGAAGAAGGAACAGGATCGGATAGCGTTTGCCTTTGACGGTGAACTCTGGTCGAACTATCGACAGTCTGGTTTTGCCTGCTTGATGGGGCGAGTCGATCTCCCAGGATTCAATGCCATCTTTGGAGAAGAGCTGTTTCGCAGGAGGGGGCAGTGCATGTTTGGCAATGAACTCAACGATGGGAGTTGGGTTATCCAGGCCGTGAGGATGGTGTTTCACTCCCGGTTTGCGGATCAGTTCAATCTGTCCGCCGAGTTCCTTGTAGCGTTGAGCAATCAGTCCGGTGTTCTCTTCCCAGGGAACAACTTCATCGGCATCACCGAAGACATGTAGTAGAGGTATTCCTGCTTCGGCCAGCGGCTTCAAATTATCGACTGGGTTACCTGAGTATGCCTTGGCTTCTTCATCACTTTCAAAGTCCCACAACTTAAGAACCAGTTCCCAATTCGGTTTGCTGCCGGGACCGGTGCCGAAGCCGCCCGGCCAGCTTTTGAAATCGCAAACAGGGGCGTCCCCATAGATACAGGCCACCTTGTCAGGATTGGCGATGGCCCAGTTGTAGCAATACAGGCCACCTCGGCTCAGACCGACTAACGCCACCTTGGCAGCGAAGTCATATTCCTTTCGCAGATGTGCATAGCACTCATTCCAATACTCCACAGCTGGCGGACTACCAAGCATATTGGGTATCGAGAGATAGACGAGATGAAAGCCTCGCTTCAACAACTCGATGTCCGGGGCCGGCTTGTGCCCGAAGAACTCCCCATGCCAAACCCAGGGACGCCCGGAAACCTCTTGCTCAGGAGCAACGACCGTGACCCGCTTCTCACCAATCAGGAATTCATACTTGGGGAATCCATGCCAGTCCCCGAGTTTCCCTGGAAAGGTTGGTTTTGTTGCCTGTGATTCAGCTGAGAGGAAATCTCCAATGCCAATGAGCGTCAGGAAAGCGAGAACCATTAGAAGGGTGAGTCGATGCATCAATCAATCCTAAGCTGTTGCAGGGAGCGTTGCTTGTTTGGTCTGCCATATATAATGTTGTGCATCGCTTCGATTCTCCACTGACTCTTGAAGATTTCATTCTATGATCAACCAACCGATTCGTGTCTGTTCTTTTGAATCCCGTCGTCGGGAGGAGATGCGGAAGCTGATTGAGAAATTTGGTGGGGTAGCGACGGTCGCTCCTTCCATGCAGGAGGTTTCTCTGGAAGAGCAACCGGATGTGGTCGAGTTTTATGACAAGCTGATGGCGGGCGAGATTGATCTCATCATCTTCCTGACCGGAGTTGGAACGGATTCATTATTCAAGGCATTGAAGAACCGCATTGCTGAAGAAGAGCTGGCAAATAAGATTGGCGAATTACTCATCGTCGCTCGCGGACCTAAACCGACAGTCAGCCTTCGCAAGCGCGATCTGCAACCCAACATCAAGGCTCCCGAACCGAATACCTGGCAGGATATGGTTCAGGAAATGGAAAGCCAGAATGTCGAGCTGGCAGACAAGGTTGTCGCCATTCAGGAATATGGAGCTCCCAGCCTGGAACTGTATCAGTGGCTGGAATCGAAAGACGCTAAACCGTTGCCGGTGTCGATTTACCGTTGGGAATTGCCTGATGACATTTATCCACTGCAGTCAGCCATTGAACGATCGATCGCTGGTCAGTTTGACCTGTTTCTCTGGACGAGTGCCCAGCAAGTGGTCCATGTACTGGAGGTTGCAGCTCAAATGGGAGTGCAGGAGGACTGGATGAAGGCAGCTGCCAAGGCGGTTCATGCCAGCATTGGGCCGATTGCGTCAGCAAAAATGCGAGAAAGGGGCATCGAGTCAGCGATGGAACCGTCTCACCCGAAAATGGCACATTTAGTACGAGAAGCGATCAGATTTGCCTCGAAGTGACCTTCGCCGGACATTTCAAATGTCCGGCATGTAGCAAACCTTGAGTTTTTGTCTCCCTTTTTTCAGTTTTTCTCACCGGAATAATCATTCCAGCCGAAATAACCAGAATAACTGAACTCGTCGGTGCAACCAGACCGATAACAGAGACAACTATCATTCAATCGAGTCCGCACCGGGTAACCGGATGAGCCGATTTCTCAGGAAACGGCAGCGGAACACTCAAGACCTCAAGGAGTGAGTCCATGCTACTGCCACGGAAATGGGCACTGGGTTTGGGATTGCTGGCAGCAGTTCCTACTGTCTCAGTGGCCGGGCCGTTTGACTTTGCTAAACGAGGAGAGCAACAAGCCTCTGCTCAGGAAACAAAGCAAGCACCGAACCAAAACCAGAAAGTCGCTGAGGACATCGCCAAGGCTCTTGGCCGCGCGAACCTCATCCATAAAGACGTTTCTATCGAATTCAAATCTGGAGTTGCCAAAATTGGTGGCCAGATCAAGAACGAAGCACAACGAGCACAAGTCACACGCCTGGTGAGTCGTGTTCCAGGTGTTGAGTCTGTTGAAAACGGACTCTCGCTGATGGATTCCAAAACACCAGCAGCGATGCCGACTGAATCACACATTCAGCAGGCAGCGGCCGAGCAACAAGGTGCACCACACCGCCGCGTGCAGCCAGTCAACTTCGATCAGAAAGCTGCTCGCAGCAATCAAGAAGTGGCCCAGAACATCGCTGAGGCACTGACCTCAGCCGGTTTGAGCGGCTATGACATCGAAGTTCGCTACAAAAATGGTGTCGCCAGCCTGATTGGGAATGTTGAAGACCCAACACAAGCTGCCATGGCCTATCGTGCGACCAGCACTGTTCCCGGTGTCAATCAGATTCTGAACGAGTTGAAGGTCAAAGGTCGACCAGCTCCACAGGTTGCTCAGGGACCAGGTCAAGCACCATTTGGTCCTCAAGGTCCTGCACCTCAATGGGCACCACAATATACTCAACAATCGCAGTTTGCTTCACATCCTCAGGGAATGACACCACAGCACATTCAACAGGTTCAAGCACAACAGATGCAGGCCATGGTTCCTCCTGGACCGGGAGCACCTCCTGCAATGGCAGGGGCACAACCTGGTCATCAGGTCTACAACCAGCCAAATCTGCCGGAGCATGCCTGGCCTTCCTACGCTGCACCAAATAATTATGCAGCAGTGACTTATCCAAGTCAGTACGATGCCAGTGCTTTCCCTTACATCGGACCTTACTACCCATATCCACAGGTTCCACTCGGTTGGAGAAGTTCCACTCTGGAATGGGATGACGGCAGCTGGAATCTGACCTTTGATTCTCGCACCGATCGCTGGTGGTGGTTCCTGAACCCTAAAAACTGGTAACCCAGGAATAGCGAGAAATCGCGGGTATTCTGCTATCGGCTTAGATTGAATGATTTCGGCTCCCAGGAAGTTCTTTTCTGGGAGCCGATTTTCGTAAGGCACGCCGAATGTGTGACTTAGGTTATTGATTTAATCTTTTTCCAGGCTCACGCAGAGACGCGGAGAATGCAAAGATTGGTTCTTCGGTGAGAATGAGCGGCTGAGAAGTGAAGTCAAGCGACCAGATTTGTCCCATGATTAGTCCGAATAAGAAGGGATTGAATTGTAAGATCAATTGTTGAAAGTGCATCGTTGAAAGGAACGAGCCTCCGCGAGTCTGCGTGAGGTTCTTCGAATGAACTTTTTTCGTAGCCTGATCAGCCAGTGAAAATGCCCTTTCAGCGAAATGGAATCAGAAGTAGACTTCTCTGCAGTGCACCTCTACTGCGAAGTCGAAGTGGACTCAATAAACAGCGCGCTGCGATGGATGCAGCACCTTGTGGGACTGAATGCGAGAACCTCAGTTCATGACCACACTTTAGCGGGAAGGATTCGCAAAACATGCCATTGGTTGTGACTCATCATCGTCGGACTCTTTACGTTGCGACGTTGGCCTATTTTTCCATCTCCTGTGTGGCCGTTGCACAGTTCCCCAATCAACAGAACGCTCCTGGGAAAGCGCAGGTCGTTCCGAACGGGAATGCAGGCAATAATATCCAGATGGAAATGCTGCCCGAGCGACTCTCTCCCCAGATGCTCAATCTGCTCAAGGTCTGGGAAAGTAAGACTTCAGAAATTGAAACACTTCAGGGAGTCTTCAGGCGATATGAATATGATTCTGTCTTCATGACCGAGAAGCGTGCCGTGGGACGGTACTGGTTCGGTTCACCAGACAAGGCCCGCATGGACTTCCAACCTGATCCGGAAGTAATCAAAGCTCTGGAAAAGAATCCTAACGAGAAACTGGTTCATAGTTTCGAGGGCAAGAGCTATGCAGTCGAGGCAGAAAAGACGACCTCCTGGATCTGTACTGGCAAAGAAATTCTGGAGATCGATCACGAACAGAAGCAATACAGCAAGATGGAAATCCCGGCTCAGTACCAGGGTCAACGGATTACAGATGGCCCGATGCCATTCCTGTTTGGGATGAAAGCCGACTCTGTCACCAAACGCTACAAAATGGCCTTCGGCAGCATGCATAAGCCGGGAGAGCGAATCCATATCATCGCTTACCCCATCGTGCCGGCCTTACGCAGAGAGTTTCAAAAGGCGGAACTCTTACTCGATCCCGAGACATTTTTGCCTCAGGCTGTTCGCTTGCTGGACCCTTCTGGAAACAAGAAAACGACTTATACGTTCTATAGTCCAGAACCATTTAGTCCGATTGATAAACTGCGTGGTCCCTGGTCAGTTTATCTGGGACCACCCTGGAAGAAGATCGCTGACATCAAAGCCGATCCCGATCAACTTCCAATGCAGGAACAACGCGGGGCCTCGAAGTTTCCGCTTCGAAGAACCGTTGAAGAACAGTCTCAATTCAAAACGCAATAGATTGTTCTTTACCGGACATTTAAAATGTCCGGCTAGTCGATGTGCTTGTCGACAAACGACCAAAGTTGTCTACGCTTCCCATCTTTGACGGGATTCTCTTCAACATATTTGATTGTCGTTCGTAGCTGATCGGTGTCTTTAATGTGAACGCACCAGTAACCTTCAGCTCAAATCGAAGGAATCCTGCCTGCATTCCTGTTGCGATGTGAGTAGAGAGGGTTTTGTTTTTCCCGAGTGAGGCGGTTGCTTCCATATCGCTTCATCTGCATCGCAATTTCTTTGGTCTTCATGTTTTCGCTAATAGCAACGCTATGAAGATGTTGCTCCATGATTGCGTAGGCAAGAAGGCGGAAGTCGTATTTTTCCACTGCTTCTGCAATCCCTTTGGAGAGAATCAAAGCTTGTTGACCACTCAATATCACTTCGGGAAATTTTAACGCCTCTTTGGCTGCAAACCTTTGACTTTGATCATGAGAGTCTGCTGCCCTTGAATGGCCATCATTCACAGTTGTTGCTTCTCCAAACTTTGCGATTTCTGGAGACCAGACAAACTTTGAGTGAGAACCACGCGGATCGTTGGGTAACCAGAATCCATAAGTGCAGAGAATGATGTGGTGAGCAATAGCAGTCATTGTAATGAGGGATCAGTCGGACACTTAAAGTGTCCGGCAAACGGCCCTAGCTCGCGACAGAAGATCGCTTTTCTGAGATCAGTTTCAGTAATGCGTTCTGCGGATCGGCGAACTTCTGTAGGCCTTCTTCCATCAGGTCAGTTTCCATTTGTTCGAAGTTGACCTTTGAGTCAATTTCATCTTGAACTTCCTGTGCAGGCATCTCTTCGATCCGGCTGGTGAACGTTTTGCCTGCCATGTTTTGAACAGCTTCGTTCACCTCTGGTGGATTCGTCTGAATGTCTGAACCTGCCAGGGCTGAGACATATTTGTCTTTGGGGTCTTCCGGTAACTTCGTCCCCATGCTGGCGAAGATCATCTCTTGCTGTAGCGGCAAGCCTTTGTCTTGCCAGAATCTTTTGTTGTTTTGCCAGATCCGTTTCGCATTGAGTACTCCCACCTCTCCCTGAGCTGCGTCGGAGAGTTCTGTCACCTTCTTAGCGGTATAGGCGTCGATCCGACTGATGAAGATGCTGTAGACTGATTTCAGAGTCTTAGGCTCTTCACGTCGCTGCGCCCCTTTCCAAATGTTGTCGCGAGCCGTTTCATACTGCTCTTTGGAAAAGATCAATGTCACATTGAGCGTAACTCCCGCAGCTGCCAATTCTTCCAGAGCCCCCAAACCACCCGGCGTCGCCGGAACTTTGATCATACGATTGGTATGCCCAGCAGCCCATTTCTTACCTGACTCAACGTACTTCGCTGAACGCTCTTCTGTGCTCAGGGGGCAGTCAACCGCTTCCAGTAGTGGGTCAAGTTCGAAGCTGACGTAGCCATCGTTGCCGTTGGTCTGTTCGTTGATTTCAGCGAAGCTTTTCTGAGCATTGCTGACGAGGCTGTCGGTCAAGGCCCAGGCGATTTCTTCATCGTCCAAGCCCTTCTCGACGAGATCAGAAATGTCATCATCAAAGCGACCAGACTTAATCAAAGCCGAGACAATCGCCGGGTTCGACGTCGCCCCCGTGGCACCGAATGCCAGATTCTCTTTCACCAGATCAGGATCAACACTATCAAGCCAGAGTTTCGTTCCAGTGGCGACCAGTGATTCGAGTGGCGTGGGCATGGGCGAATTCCAATTCTGAGTATTAAATCTAGATGATTCCTTTAGCTGACTTTACCAGTTTCTTTATTGACTTTCATCTGTTCCTCCGGTGCATCACCGGAGGCTAAATGGTCTGAAGATCAACCTCGCTGGACGAAATGGCACCAACTCGACATCATGCTTTCCCTTGCCCCTCGACCCTAGCCCCTAGTTCATTCCTCATGTCCGACCGACCAAACATCATTTTCATCATCACCGATCAACAGCGATTCGACACCATCGCTGAACTCGGTTTTCCTTATATGGAAACTCCCAACCTGGATCGCCTGGTGCGGGAAGGAACGACGCTGACGAATTGTCATGTCACAGCAGCCAGTTGTGCGCCGAGTCGGGCTTCTCTGTTCACGGGATATTACCCTCACACGACTGGGGTCCTGAAGAATGCCGACCTCTGGCGGCACTCCTGGATTGAGCAGTTGAATGAGTCAGGTTATCGCTGCGTCAATATCGGGAAGATGCACAGCTACCCTTATCACACGCCGCTTGGTTTCCATGAGCGGTACGTGGTCGAGAACAAAGACCGTTACCTCGAAGAGCGGTACTACTTCGATGAATGGGACAAAGCGCTCAGGGCCCGAGGCTTGGTCAAGCAGCAGCGAGAGTTCTATCGGAAACGTGATGACTACAAAAAGGCACTCGGTGCCTTCGACTGGGAGTTGCCCGAAGATTTGCATTCCGACATGTTCGTCGGGGAAATGGCGAAGTGGTGGATTGATTCGTACCCGCAGACGCAACCACTCTTCCTCGAAATCGGTTTTCCGGGGCCGCATCCCCCTTATGATCCGACTCCTGAATATGCAGCGAAATACATCGATAAGGAACTCCCGCTGCTGGAAGTGACACAAGAGGAGTTAGACAAGCAGCCCGCTGCGCTGAAGGAGCTTCGACAGCACAATAATGAAATTGATCATGATTCGGTTGTTCTCGATCTTGACCCAAGTGAAGAGCAACGGCATCGACAGCGAGCCTACTATCTGGCGAACGTCACGATGATCGATCAGAAGGTTGGTGAGATTCTGGAAGCCCTCGACAAGAAGGGCTATCTCGAAAATTCGGTTGTCATTTTCACTTCTGATCATGGCGACTGTTTAACGGATCATGGGCATTCACAGAAATGGACCATGTACGACATCATTACCAAAATGCCAACGATCGTCTGGTCACCGGGAAGATTCGAAGCAGGACGAAAGTTCGATGGTCTTTGCAGCCAGTTCGATCTGGGGCCTGCCATTCTGGAATTAGCCGGCATCGAACCACCCGCCGACATGGAAGCCAAGTCTCTGCTCCCAGCTCTAGAAGGGAAAGAATGGGAAGAACGTGAATACGTCTTCGCTGAGCAAGCGAAAGATGGCATTCTGACCGGGACCGATTTCATGACCATGGTCCGCAGCCGCGACTGGAAACTGGTCCACTTCCTCGATCAGCCAGACGGCCAACTCTTTGACCTCAATGAAGATCCAGATGAAGTGAATAACCTGTGGGATTCAGCAGAGCATCAGGAGAAGAAACGGGAAATGCTTGATGTGCTTCGCGAATGGAGAATGCGGAGCCAGCTAGAATCGAAGGACCTGTTCGCGGAGTATCGGTGAAGTGAGTATTATTGGCTAACACGATTGGCAGGCTGCTTCCGTATTTGCAGTTGGAGTGCAGAAGTAGACGGAAGTTTGGTCAGTTGCTAACCTTTAGTCAGGTGTTCATTCTTTAGTTTCTGCGGATTTTTTAGATGGCTGAAGCAACGCGACGTGTTGATCCAGAGGAAGTAGATCGTATTCGTGAATTGTTGCGTAAACATGGAGTTCGAGCGACTCCAGCACGCATTGCGGTGATGCAGGAACTGCGGGCAGCGACTTCTCCTCTGACACATGCCGATGTCACCGAGATGCTTGTTCCGCTTGGGTTCGATAAAGCGACAGTCTTTCGCAACCTCAATGATCTGGCCGAAGCGGAATTGATTTCAAGAACAGAATTAGGAGATCACGTCTGGCGATTTGAGGCTCTCGATCCTGAACGTCCGGTGGGCGAGAAACATCCTCATTTTGTTTGTGTGGAATGTGGTGGGGTCACCTGCCTGGGAGATATGGACTTCACAACTTCTTCCCGCCGTCGTGCCAAGTCGATCGGTCGAATCACTGAAATTCTGATCAAAGGGCATTGTACTGATTGTGAGGGTCAGTAAGAGTCAATCTCCAGAGTTTACAAGAGCATTTTCACTCTTCATGTGCCCTCGCATGTAAGTTTTGATCGGTTAAAGCGTTGTGATTGCAAAGGCGAGCTGGTGGCATGTTCAATGAAAATGCTCTAATGCAAATGCGCTGGCTCCAGATAGCGGATACACCAGGCCAGTATAACTCCCAACAGAAGACAGGCACTTAGTCGCCACCGGTTGTGATTATGGAATTCCATCTCAGGCAGCAAATCAGCCAGAGCAATGCAGAGAAAAATCCCTGCTGAGAAGGCGAGGCTGGCTCCGACGATGAATGATGTTTGCGAATCTGCAGACCAGACTCCCATCAGAAATAAGGCTGCTCCAATGGGGCAGAGCAAAGAGTAAAGCAGATTCATCAAAGTGATCCGAACTTTTGACTGGCCCGCATTGATCATCAGTGTGGTGAATGAGAGCGAGTCAAACGGTTTGTGCAAGATGATCCCCACCAAAACTCCCAGCCCTAGCAAGCCACCCAATTGATGGTTCGCATCCGCTTGCATTGAGGCTCCTAACGCTAAGCCATCGAGCAGAGTGTGAATGCTCAAGCCTAAAAACATTCCAGCCCAACTGACTCCCCCAGCGTGATGATGGTGGTCATGATGGTCGTGTTCGCAAGGAGTCACGTGTAGACTTGATTGTGGATTCAGGCTTTCTTCTGTTCCAATCTCCGGAGGTTCATGGTGGTGCACGTGTAATGTTCGGAGCAGGAAAAACATGGTGATGATCCCAGCCATCATCCACGCCATGAGGAAATCGACCGACGAGACTCCCAATTCATGAATTGCATGAGGCAGCAAGTGGAACAAACCAATACCAATCAACATCCCCCCGACGATACTCAACAGACTCTGAAAACTGAGGTGTGAAAGTCGAACGTGTGTCGGTAACCAACCACCTAGCAATGATGCTGCAGCAATAAAAATGGTGTAAATAGCCAACGACCGAAAAATAATTGTCGATGCTTCCTTTGAGGTAGTGGGCGATTCGTCTTTATCATGTTCGTGTGAATGGTCATGTTCTTCGTGGTGGTGACCATGCTGATGACCGGAATGATCATCGGCACCTTGAGTACTTCCGCACGTAAGCACCCCAATTATGAAAAGGGACATCAGGAGAGAAAAGCGATGACTCATCACCATAATCGAATGTAATGTCGCACGAATACTCAAAGTAATTGTCTCGGTAGAAATTAGTGAGAGATAAGATCGGTAAAAGGTACCTACTTCGCGAAGAGTCTGGATTGCCGGGAGTCTATTCTCAATCTCACACATTAGCAATCCGACTGCAAAAGTGTAGTTCTGCTCAATTTAATGGGCTCTTCTTCGTCGGGAAATGCAGTTGCATTATTTGCAATCTTCTACATTTCATTTGCATTTGCACATTCTAGGACCGAAACTCTTTAAGAGTTGCATTTAATAATTCTTGACGAAGGCCAGAGTCCGTGAAACGATCGCAGCACCACGAAAGCCGAGGTGGGTTTACGATCATCGAACTCCTCGTTGTAATCGCTACCATCGGTATTCTTGTTTCCCTGTTGATGCCAGCTGTTCAACAAGCCAGGTCAGCTGCACGAAGGACTCAATGTTCTAACCATCTCAAGCAGTTGGGACTTGCGACTCACTCTTTCCATGACACATTTGGAGCTTTTCCACCAGCCCGTTTGATCTTAAGTGTTCCGCGTACGACAAACGATGAAGGCACTTTAGTCGGTTTGGACGAACCAAGTTGGTATGTGCGACTGCTGCCGTTTCTTGAGCAAGAAGCATTACATGAACAATGGGATGAGTATGTGACCTATGGTTTGAATCCTGAAATTGCGAGAAATCAGGCATTGAAGGTCTTCTTGTGTCCAGAGCGTCATTCGATTGAAAACGCTGTGATCGGCGAAGAAACTGTCAAGATTATTGCACCTTGTGGGTGTCCTGGTGGAGATCAGACTGTTCCTGGAGGAGCAGTTGCCGACTACGCAGCCAATCACGGTGATTTGTCACCAGGTGCAATTAGGAGGCCAACAGATTTTTATTGGGGTGGAAATGGAACTGGCGTCATCATTTCAAGTCGTCCAGTTGGAGACGAGGATGGTATTGAAAATAAATGGCGTGATAAAATTCGCATGGCTGATGTGACTGATGGAACAAGCCAAACATTGTTAATAGGGGAGTCACACGTTCCGCGAGGGAAACTAAATTCCACTCCCTATAACGGTCCTGCATACTTTGGTCGGCATTTGACCAATTTTGCACGGATTGGTGGCCCAGGTGTTCCTCTCGCACATAATTCTGATGATCAAAGAGCCGGGCTATATTCTTTCGGGAGTTCCCATGTTGGGGTCGTTCTATTTGCAATGGCCGACGGAAGCGGCAGGGCGATTTCAACATCAATCAGTACAAACATTTTAGGGAATCTTGCCAATCGACATGATGGAAAGGTTGTGGGAGAGTTTTGATGATGCGTATTCTCACACTCATGGTCCCAGTCTTGCTCGTAGTCTTTGGCTGTGGTCCGACTCAGATTCCAACTTACCCCGTCTCTGGTCGTGTCGAATTTTCAGACGGTGAACCTGTTCGGACAGGAACTGTTGAGTTGGAATCAGTGGAACACGGTACAACTGCAACAGGTTCGATTCGCGAAAATGGAACTTTCGTGCTTGGGACTTATGAGTCTGATGATGGTGCAATTGCCGGTAGACATCGAACGATTGTAGTGCAGATCGTGATTGATGATGGAATCACTCGTCATGTCAGTGATCATGGACGTCCCGTTCCACCAAAATTTAGTGACTACTCAACCTCAGGAATCAGCGTCCAGGTTGATGCCATCCCTGACAACAACATTGTGATTACGATTCCAACCGAAGAGTAGGGGATTTTCTTTCTGGGGGTGTTTTTCACATTCCAACAGTTGTTGAAGGAAAAGAATGCTGCTTGACATCACAATTCCCCACCCAATGACTGTGCTAATCGAGAGCGAAGTCACGGGCCACCAGTTTGACAGATAAGTCGCCTGCAACCGCCATGTGATTAACTGGACGATCACCGCGACCAGTAACCAGCCAACAAGTTTCACTTTTTTCAGGTAATGGAGTCCATACCTCTTAGACGCATAGAGTTGAGCAGCCTGAACCATTAAGTAAAGAGTGAGCACACTCAAGGCAGCCTGCCATCCCAGCATACAGCCTATCAATGCGGTTCCGGCTATGAACTCAGGATCATTCTTGAGAAGTTCCTTCAAGCTCGTTCTATGAAATAGAGAACCGATGAGAGTCGAAGCAAGAAGTGCAACGGCAATCCCCATGCCGGCAGTCATTAAGGCATCGGTAATCGTTGGTTGCCAACTGGTCGTTTGTTGTGGATTCCACGACACTAGCATCAATTTGGGCCAGATGTTCAGCGGAATAATTGCCAGAGTGAACGTGGTTACCATAGAACGAAACCGAACTCGCTGATTGTCGTAACAAATGAGACTCCAGGTCAGCAAGGCAGTCAACAAGTAACAATGAAAGAGATAAAGCCCGATGAGATCCCATTTCGTGTAGAAAATGATCCACACCACTCCAGCATGTGGATTCGGGTTTCGAATGGGAAGATTCTGTCCACCTGAAAGTAGCTCAACAAAGTAAAACAATAGAAAGAGCGTCCCGGAAATGGCTTCCACGATTGGATAGCGGGCAGAGATGGGGAGGTCACAAGAGCGGCACTTGCCTTGCAGCCAAATCCAACCGAGAACGGGGATGTTGTCTCTCCCGGAAATTTTTGTTCCGCATTGTGGACAGGTCGAAGGCTTACTGACGATCGACTCTCCTCGGGGTGTTCGATAAACAATCACATTCACAAAGCTCCCGATTGTCGCTCCGTAAACAAAGAACCAGACTGCTGTAAAAACCTCAGTTGTTCGCAGACGGACAGCTTCCTGGAATGTCATCTCTTCCAATGCTTGAACCGCAGGCCCCGGTTCACGGAACATCTCCAATAGAGCATCAACCCCTGGGATGACGATCATATAAATCGCCAGCAAACTCAGAATACTAAAACCCCAATACTTCCAGGAGATACTTGCAGCTTTGCGTTGAAATATCTTTCCAAGATCAAACAGCGACAACCCTCGTAATCTCATAGCCTGAGCAAGGTCCATTATCAAAACCAGAAGCATCAGGAATGCCACGCTGGTCAAGGAAAATGGACCGATGGCTAACCAACGTGGTACATCACCAGGATGTGATTGATGGAAAAACAACGTCGCCAGCAGCAACACCAGCGTCCCGACCATGGAAACAAATCGTCCACCCAAACCACAAGCAGCACGAACGACAAGCCAGCAACCGGCAGCTATCAGGTTCAAAGTTGCAATGCAGGCGGGAGCGAGAGACAGCCAAGCTGTTAGTGA